TGTAGTTTGCTTTCAAGAATCCTCCGCACAATATTTATTTAATTTTATTTGTTTGGGAATAGTTCACTATACTGGTTGTAGTTTGAAATAAATATTATATATTATCTACACCTATTCTTATGAAATCAATCTCCTTCCTACTTTGAAAAATCTAAATAAAAAGTAAGCTAAGAGAATTAATTAAATTTTAAAAAGTGTGATATTTGCTTTAGCGAAGTGTTTGATTAGATTGGTTGATAATGAACATTGTTATAGTTTGTGTAACCTGATTAGCTTTTCAAAATCAGTTCAACACTTAACAAAGCTCAGTTGAAACTGCCTTAAACATGGTTGTTCCTAAAATTAGAGGAAATGTATTTGTCAAATAGAAGTGCTTCTTTTAAATATTAAAATTAGTTTTTACATTCTGGTCAAAGACTATGGAGACTACACATGTAATTATTTACAGACATTTATCTGCATTCATCATAGCAACTTTTAATGAAAAAAAAAATGTAATAAATCTTCCTAATTTCATTCATTCGTTTCATTTTTTTTTTAACTGCCATCACTTCCTGTTATCAAAACCTTCCTTGGGATTTTTTATTTTTGTCCTGTAAACAATATTTAAAGTTATTAAACTTTACCTAAATGTATGTATTGCCTTAATTAAAATGTTTTCCATGCTGAAATAGTTTGTATTTCAGAATATTATTTAATATGAAATATGAAATGAAACATGAAATGATTTAATATTTCTTACTAAATATCACGTCTAAAAAAAACGTGTTAGAAACCAAATTAACTGTCCTTCCATTCAAATAAATATTTTCAGATGGAGTTATTTATCAGCGTTAATATTGTGATCTAAGCTTGTGATCAGGTTTGAAAATGCGCTCTTTATTTTAGGGTGTTTCTGTGAATCATGTGGATGAGGCTGAACCATGGGGAATGGGAAGGTTCAGTTATGAGTGAAATAAACTGATTTTGATCATTCCATTGATCGGCCACTGCAATTACTACTTTTAAGTTTGAGGATATTATCTACTTATTCAGCAATTCATGCTTATAGGGAATCAGCACTTAAGATGAAGCTGTGGTGGCTCTGAAAAGAGCCTTTGGTGCACTGGGTGCTGGTGGAAGTAGCAGTCTACTTCTTGGCCTTCTTAGCTGGAGCCTTTTTAGGTGCAGCTTTCTTGGCTGCAGGTTTCTTAGCTGCAGGCTTCTTAGCAGCCTTTGGCTTCTTGGCAGCAGGGGCGGCCTTTTTGGGGCTCTTCTTTGTCACCTTTTTCACGCTTTTCTTGGCAGGTGCCTTCTTAGGAGACTTCTTGGCTGCTGCCGCTTTCTTAGCAGCGGGTTTTTTAGGAGTGCTGGCCTTCTTAGCGGCGGGCTTCTTGGCTTTTGCTGGAGCCTTCTTCTTCACCACCTTCTTGGCTGGTTTAGCGGCTTGGGAATCCTTGGGGAGCTTGAAGGAGCCGGATGCCCCGGTCCCTTTGGTCTGAGCCAGGGTACCATTGCTGACCAACTTGGTGACAGCCGTGTTGATCCGCTTGTTGGCTTTAGTCGTATCTACTCCTTTACTGGCCAGGACCTTCTTGACCCCCGCCAGAGAAATGCCCTTTCGCTCCTTGCACTCGG